CCAAAAAGATAAGCTTATCTCTAGCGTGAATAGGTTTCTTAAATCAACCATGGGCTTACTCTTTTCGAAACACTTGGTTGTACTTCTATACTACCATTTCTCAGGATTTTTGCCATTCTGAACAATGCAGAATAACATAACAAAATTTTATCACAATGAAATTTCTGAATTAAGCTTATAGTCTGTTCAGATATGCAGCAGAACATGGTCAAGAGTTACCCACCTTTACAATAATCTTTAGGATCTTCCTGTTCATCATCATCTGATCCTAAAATTTCTTCATCTTCTTCTTCATCATCATAAATCTCTTCTCTACGTTCATCTCTGTAAAATACAATTATTCACAATTTATAACTCAAAGTTTAAATATCTTTCTTGTTTCATTGACACAGTTCAAAGCTCACCTGTCTCCATTCAAATCAGACTCATTTTCTTGATGTAAAAAGCAGCTTATTGAGAATGATTATATACACAGTACCAACGGTATGAAGGTTCATACAGACAGTTGATGTTCATACAGCCAATTGAGAATGATCATACACCTGTGAATGACCATATGTACAGCCAATTGAGAATAACCATACAACTGAGAATGACCATACAGCCAATTGAGAATGATCATATAACTAAGAATGACCATACAGCCAATTGAGAATGATCATACAACTGTGAATGACCATACAGCCAATTGAGAATGATCATATAACTAAGAATGACCATACAGCCAATTGAGAATGATCATATAACTGTGAATGACCATACAGCCAATTGTGAATGATCATATAACTGTGAATGACCATACAGCCAATTGAGAATGATCATACAACTGAGAATGACCATACAGTCAATTGAGAATCATCATACAACTCTAAATGACCATACAGTCAATTGAGAATGATCATATAACTGTGAATGACCATATAGCCAATTGAGACTGTTCATACAGACAGTTGAGAATGACCATATAACTGAGAATGACCATACAGCCAATTGAAAATGATCACACAACTGAGAATGACCATACAGCCAATTGAGAATGATCATACAACTGAGAATGACCACACAGCCAATTGAGAATGATCATACAACTGTGAATGACCATAAAGCCAATTGAGAATGATCATACAACTGAGAATGACCATACAGCCAATTGAGAATGAGCATACAACTGTGAATGACCATAGAGACAATTGAGACTGTTCATACAACTGAGAATGACCATATAGCCAATTGAGAATGATCATACATCCAATTGAGAATGATCATACAACTGAGAATGACCATACAGCCAATTGAGAATGATCATATAACTGCGAATGACCATAGAGACAATTGAGACTGTTCATATAGACAGTTGAGAATGATCATATAACTGAGAATGACCATACAGCCAATTGAAAATGATCACACAACTGAGAATGACCATACAGACAGTTAAGAATGATCATACAACTGAGAATGACCATACAGCCAGTTCAAGAATAATCATACACTAAGAATGACCATACAGTCAATCGAGACTGTTCATACAGACAGCTTAGAATGACCGCGATACAGTAAATTGAGAATGATCATACAAAGTTCTGGGATTCAGAGAATGATCATACAACTGGATATGATCATACAGCCAATTGAGAATGATCAATACAATTGAGAATGACCATACAGCCATGT